TTCCTGGTTTATTTTTATCTGAGATAACTGGATACCTTTATTGCTTAAGCCACCATTAATGAAGTTTCCTGTTGTAGCTAAACACTTAACGAATGTACTATTGACTATATACCACTGACTACCTAAGGGTGTTCCTAGAATTTCATGTTGAACATAGTTACCAAAGTAAATAATCTAGGACCAAACATAGTGTACGAGTCAATGTTGTTTACAAGAAGACACAATATATGAAAGGCAGCAGAATTAAGCATAAAATGCTGTAGGTCAAAGGTTGATAAACTAGGATCCTCTGAGCAGCTGTTTGTTTCTTAAATAAAGTTTTATTGGAACATAGCTACACCCTTTTGTTTATGAACTTTATATCTGCAAAACTTAAAATATTTACCATCTGACCCTTTACAGAAAAGGTCTGCCTCAAATTTACCTACCTGCTATAGGTAAATTTCTATCATGCTGTTAAAAAGGTATGATCATTTCCTTAAATAGATAAAGAAGCGTACACAAAGAAGTGATCTTGTTTTCAAAATATTTTTTGTACTAATTTATGGAATCAATTCTACATATGTTGATAGTACATGGAAACAGCAATATGCCAAGCCCCTTCTCCCCTTCATCCCAAACTCGATACAGGGGAAATAAAAATGCTCGCAGGTTAATTATGAAACAGTAGATGACAGTATAGTTATGTGAAGTCACCTTATTCAGAGGGACTAGCTCCCAGGCTGAGTCTCAAATATGTAACATTCAATGAAAGGACTGGCCACCAAGAATAGAGGGGGTGGGAGTTGGAATTTAGTAGAAGCATCTGAAAGGAAGTATTACAACAGCAAATTTGAGTCTCTTAATAGGATTTAGGGGAGAGGATGTTTTAGTTCACAAACAAGAGGGAATCTAGTCCATGATTAGGTATTTCCATATAATGAAGGTAAATGACACCGGCTATCAGGGCAATACACTGAACTACTCTTGGTCGCCATGGTCACTAAACAACCTTCTATTACTTAGCTTTTCAGGTAGATTTCCCACAGAAGAGAATGTGCTTCTGAAGGAAAATGAGTGACTAGTCTTCTTGAGTTATAGTTTCTACTGCCAATTAACTTTGACTTTGACTACATTGACTTTCCACTTTTAGTTTGGTGCATCTGTCTGTAGTATACAGCACTGGACCCAAGTCCACAAGGTTTCTGGGTTTGCAAGCCTGAGGGTCAGACTCTGGAATTCATCATGAAGGAGGTAATTGCCTCAAATACCCAAACAATTAATTCAAATTAGAACTGGTATTTTTACTGAACTAGATTAAAACCGGATATGAAGTATATCTTTTTCAGCTCAAGCCCACCACAGTTTGGCTTTAAGTGTTTTGAAAATGCATGAACTTAATAATTTAACATTAAAAGCTATGAATAAACCTTGAATGTCAAATTACTTTTTCAGATACAAGATGATATGAAGAAATATATCCTTTATTAAATAAACCAAAGAAATTTGACAATTGCCCTTTTCCCTCTCAGCACATTTTACTTGTAGAGCACATATTCCTGACCACAAATAACATTCCAGAAATGTAAACAATATACTTTTCTTTCAAAAGATAAGCCATTACTGGATGCATTAACAAGATACACAAAGAGCAATTTTTAGCAGTCCTTTAAGTGAAACTTGATTTAGAGGTCAAATTTAGAAAAGGTGTACTAAAGGTCCTTTTTGTTGCTTAAGATAGTCTTAAGAGAAAACCCATTGTCCTGCTCTGAAGAGTGACACAAGAATAGTAATGTTATGAGAATAATGAGAAATATGCTTTTAATAAGAAAAACAAACAAAAAAGCCAGACAAGTTCTTTACAGTTATCAGCTTTGAAGGACTCTCTTCCAATCTGTGCAGGAAGAGTAATCATTACTCTATGTGATATGCATCCTCTCATCTTACCTGGTATCCACGTTTCTAAAGAAGCTGCTTATTGCCTCATCATAAATTCCTTTCTAAAAAGAAAGAACATATTGACAGCATTTCATTAAGTTTTGCCTCTTTCCCAAAGGAAGTCCTTGCCATTTAATAACCCCACAATATGGTAACAGCTGGAGCCTGACTATGAGAAGAAAAAGCAAGTTATCACAGGATGCTTAGACCCAGTCTTCCAATCCATAGAAGACAAAATGTCCTGAGATCTAGGAGTTCAGTTCAGGGAAGGGTGGTGAAGTCCCCGAGAACCCTAGAATCAAGAGAGCTTTCTCTGAATTCCAGGTGATCATTTTAAAAGCCAACTGGTTAAATCAGGGAATAAATAATGGCACACATGTTACCTCTTTTACATTTTTTTTTTTTTTGGCACAGATCTCCCTCGAGGGCCCCAACCGCCTCCCAGGACACAGACCTACGTCAGAGGCTCAGTCCTACATAAGGGTCTAGACCATTATGCCAGGGTCCAGAAGTCCATCCCGGGGCCCAGAACTCGACCCCGGAATCCAGTCTTTTATCATAGTATAGACATCCACAGTAGTCCAGACAACAATTCCATGACCCAGAGGTCCAGCCCCTGACACAGAACTCCGCCCGGGACCCAGATCTCCCTCCGGTGCCGAGACTACTCTTCGGGACCCAGACCTACATTCAGGCATCAGACCTCCATCCGGGTCCCAGGCCTTTATGCCATGGCCCAGAAGGCAATCCCGGGGCGCAGACTTCAAACGCAGAATCCGGGCTTGTATCAGGGTGCCAGATCTCCATGCGAAGTCCAGAACACCAGTCCATAACTCAGAGTTCCAGCCCATGAGCCAGACCTCTCCCCAGGGCCCACACTTCCCTCTGGGGCCTGAACCGCCCTCTCAGGACCAACCTAAATCCAGGGCTCAGACCTACATTCGGGTCCCAAAACTTAATGCCAGGCACCGGAAGTTCACTTCGGGGCCCAGACCTCGAATCCAGTATCCAGGCCTTTATCGTAGTCCAGACATCAACAGTAGTTCAGACCACAATTCCATGATGCAGAACTCAGGCGAGATTCCAGACCTCCACCTGGGGCTGGAACCGCCCTTCTGGGACCAGGACCTACATCCAGGGCTCAAACCTACATCTGGGTCTCAGACCTTTATGACAGGGCCCAGAAGGCAATCCCGGGGCCCAGACCTCAAACCCAGAATCCAGGCTTGTATCAGGGAGTCAGATCTCCATCCATAATCCAGACCACCAGTCCATAACCCAGAAGTCCAGCCAATGAGCCAGACCTCCCCCCAGGGCCTAGATCTCCGTCTTGGGCCCGAACCGCCCTCCCAGGACCCAGCCCTACATCCAGGGCTCAGACCTAGATCCGGGTCCCAGACCTCAAACCCAGAATCCAGTCTCGTATCAGCGGGCCACATCTCCATCCTTAGTCCATACCACCAGTCCATAACCCAGAGTTCCAGCCCAAGAGCAGACCTCCCCGCAGGATCCAGACCTCCCTCCGGGGCCTGAACCGCCCTCCCAGGACCCAGACTTAAATCGAGGGCTCATACCTACATCCAGGTCCCAGATCTTCATGGCAGGGCCTAGAGGCCATCAAAGGGCGTAGACCTCAAACCCAGAATCCAGGCTTGTGTCGGGGGGCCAGATTTCCATTTGAAGTCCAGAACACCAGTACAAAACCCAGAGTTCCAGACCTCAAGCCAGACCTTCCCCTAGGACCCACCCACCCCGCCGAGGCCCCAACTGCCCTCCCAGTACCTGGACCTACATCCGGGGCTCAGACCTACATGCAGGTCCCAGACCCTCATGCCAGAGCCCAGAAAGCCATCCCAGGGCCCGTACCTCCAACCCAGTATCCAGTCCTTTACCCTATCCCCGACATCCACAGTAATGCAGACCACCACTCCATGACCCAGAGATCCAGCCCCTGACCCAGACCTCCACCGGGGCTCAGACAGTCCTCCATCCCCAGACCTCTCTCCCAGGACCCAGACCTACATCCGGGGCTCAGACCTATATCAGGGTCCCAGACCTTCATGCCAGGGCCCAGAAGGCATTCCCTGGGCCCAGACTTCAAACCCAAAATCCTGTATCAGTCGGCCAGATTTCCACCCGTAGTCCACACCCCCAGTCCATAACACAGAGGTCCAGCCCACGAGCCAGACCTTCCCCCTGGGCCCAGACCTCCCTCAGGGCCTCAACCACCCTCTCAAGACCTAGAGCTACATCTGGGGCTCAGACCTACATCTGAATCCTAGACCTTCACTCCAGTGCTCGAAAGTCTTCCCGGGTCCGGGACCCTGAACCCAGTATCCAGTCCTTTATCATAGTCCAGACATCCACAGTAGTCGAGACCACCATTCCATGACCCAGCTGTCCAGCCCCTGACCCAGACCTCCACCTGGGGCCCAGACCGCCCTCCAGTGCCCCGACCTTTCTCCCAGGACCCAGACCTACATCAGGGCATCAGACCTACATACTATCTGATTGGTCTTCACCAGAATCCTGATAAAAGATGAGACCCTGATTATTAGGGGAAGGTGTTCAGTTTCGTGTAGTCTATTAGGTGTCTAACGCCAATATACGTTTCCATGCCAATTAGTTCTGCAGTTTGTTCTTCACTGACAGGATCCCATATAACGCATATCGGTCAGATACAAGCCCAATAGAGTAAACCCTGCTTCTCTGTAGGAGGAGCCTCTTTGACAGGCGAGGGGGTTCCGGGGAGGGGGCGGCCGGTACCTGGTTGACCGAGGCGTGCTCCCTCAGCGCCAGGTCCCAAAAGCAGCAGCCGATCTGGTTTCCGCACTGGCCCACTGCGATCGGGGAGAGGAAGGAAGGAGGACAGACATTAGAGGGCCCCGCTGGGCTCCGCGCCGCCAGGGTCCTCACCCTCCCGGGGCAGCTCACCCTGAACGATCACCGACTGGGTCATCCCGCGGAGCGGCCGGTCCCGCGCCCTCAGGCACCCGCTCCCGCTTTCAAATTCCCCGCCCACCGAGGGGCAGGGCGGCCGTAAGTCACGCTGCCTCCGCCAGTCGCTGCCATGGCTGCCGTCGCGACCTTGTTGTCTAGGTTCGGGCTAAGACTTTCCGTCAGAAGGCCGGCAAGTACGCCCGCGTCTCACTGTTACCATAGCGACGGTACCTCCGGACTGCAGATCCTCGCTGCCCTGTCAACATCCGTTCGCGTTGGCAGCGCCCGAGACCCGGGTAACTGGCGGGTGATTAGGCTGGGGAGCGGGATTTTAAACCTTGTGCCCTAAAACTGTCAGCGGGCCCTGTGTAGAGGGTAGTCGTTCAGTCGTAGGGGGTGGCGTCAGATTCCGTTATTTAGCTTCCTCGGTGCTGCATTCGCGTCTCTGTCCAACAAGCCCTTTGTTCTGATAGAAAACGAAGAATGTGGGTGGGCACCAAGAAACCTCAGACCGACAGGCGTGGCAAGATGGAACAGAAGTTCATTCACTTCTTGGCTCTCTGGAGGGTTCAAAAGAAATTAAGACATAGATCCCCAGCTCCGAGAAACTTAGAATCTAATTGAAGATACACACGGAATGCTCAAGTTACTGTGACTTTTAAATACTGTGTAATGCTGACTATAAGTGCATTCAGTGGATGACGATGGAAATGGGTCGATAGAAGTCTGATGAAAGAGATGAAATGGAAACATTTGATGTATATGCAGTGTTGGGTTTATGGTCTAGGTAGAAGTGAAATATATGACAAAAATAATAGGGTGGCCCAGCCTATGTGCTGCAGTGGTTGAACTTCAACTGTTGGATTCCCGATTAGGGCTCATGCCCGGGCTGCAGGTTCCATCCCCATTAGTGTATGAGGCAGCGGAACAATGATTCTCTCTCATCTTTGATGTTTCAATCTCTCCCTTCTCTGAAATCAATAAAAATATATTTAAAAAATAATAGGATGGGAGAGGGGAAATGGAATATACTCTTGAAAGGTTCTGTTAGTATATATGAAGTGGTATAATGTTATTGAAGGCAGACTGAAAATTAAAATATATACTGTAAAACCTAAAGTAATCAAAACTAAACCAAAGCAAAGCAAAACACAAAGATTGCATAACAATAAACTAGTAATGAAGATAAGATAGATTCATAGAGTATACTCAGTTGTTTTAAAAGAACAGAATAAGAAGAAAAACCAAAGAACTGATGACATAAATAGAATACAAATGGCAAGAGAACAGTTTTAAATTCATTCATATTTATCACCTTAAATGTGAATAATCAAAACATTTGATTAATTAAAAGTCAGCGATCATCAAAATAGATAAAAACAGCAAAACTGAACTATATGTTCTGTATTTAAAAAGACACTTTGAATAGAAACCAAATAGGTTAAAAGTAAGTTTGGAAAAGATACATTATACTAACACTAATAAAAAAGTACCTATATATCTTTCAGACAAAACATATTCAGAGCAAAGAATATTACTAGGGATAAAGAAGGATATTTTATAATAAAAGTTTTAATTCATGAAGAGGACATAACACTACTAAATATTTAAAAACCTAATGGCAGAGCTTCAAAATATATAAAGCAAAAATTGGCAGAATAGAAAGGAGAAACAGATAAATTTAGTATTATAAAATAAATAAATTTCAAGATTTGTGGAATGAAGGTAAAGTAGTGCTAGGATGAAAATTTATAAAATTCAATGCTGATGTTAAGAAGGTAGGTCTCAAGTCAATGACCTAAGCTGCCATTTTAAGACATTAGAAAAAGAAAAACAAATTAAGCCCAAATTAAACAGAAAAAAGTAAATACTAAAGATTGGAGTGAAAATCAAATAGAAAACAGAAAATTAATAGAGAAAAATCAGTGAAACCTATGTATGTTTCCTGAGAGATTAAAATTCTTTTGGGGACTTCCTTGCTCATAAAGTCTAAAATCTTTAACTTGGATTTATATCTCAGCATGGTTTAACTTCTGCTTATCTCTCTGACCTATTTCTTAACTTTCTCGATTGTCTTTTCAGATTTCCTTTTGTCCGCTCTACTGGCAGATGACTTTTACATAGGCTATTTCCTTTGTTTTTCCCCTCCCTAAGGGTCTCAATGTCTTTTTTTTTTTTAATATATTTTATTGATTTTTTACAGAGAGGAAGGGAGAGAGATAGAGAGTTAGAAACATCGATGAGAGAGAATCATTGATCAGCTGCCTCCTGCACATCTCCTACTGGGGATATGCCCGCAACCCAGGTACATGCCCTTGACCGGAATCGAACCTGGGACCTCTCAGTCCGCAGGCTGACGCTCTATCCACTGAGCCAAACCGGTTTCGGCGGGTCTCAATGTCTTTTCTTCCCACCCATTTCCATCCAGTTGATGCCTATTTGTCTTTGAGATTTAGGTTTGAAGTCTTAGTCCAGCACATACCCTGCCCTAACCTGTAAACTCCACTAGGACAGGCACTGTGTTTGCTTTTATCAATATTTTATTTTCAACACTAAACACATGCCTGGCTGGTGGATTCTCAACAATTATCTGTTATATGAGTGAATGCTAATAATGGATCTATTTTCTTAGGATATGACCAGTTCAAACACCATTCCTTTTCTGAATCTCATGAATCAATATTCTGAGAATTGAAAGATCATTATTCTTGGTTTATGAGGAGAGTATTTAGAGATTTCACCATCTCCTCCCTCCCCTCCCTCCACCCCCCATCATTTAGACTTCACTTATTCATTTCTTTGTGAAGATCTGCTAGAAAGTCAAGTTCACTTTGTCTTCTAGAAAGTTTTATGATTAAGGCTACTGTTTGGTTTGTTTCATGATATCACTCATGCTAAAAGAAGAAACTTGGTATAACTTGTGCCAAATAAACTAGTAAAGGTAAATTAGAGGAATTAAAAACTATTCCACAGTAGAATATCCCACATAGAGACTTTACTTTGTAGTTTAAAGATATATTGGTCCCAAAAAAGTGAAATCATGCCTCAACAATCTAATTTCAAGAACTATGCAACGAGATGAGAGAATATGCTGATTTAATTTTTGTATCCCAGACATTGTCTTTACTATGTTAGACTTTTTTATTCCTCAAAAACAATTCTATACAAGGAATTAATACTATTTTACAGACAAACTTTTAGTGATTTGCTCAGTCTCAGAGTTAACATGGTCTTAACATTCAAACCTAATTCTGATGCCAAACCCATTATTTTTCCACTGCCGTCTTCACTAAAAAATGTAAACTATTACAAAATTTTCCCATCCTAATGATCAGATGTTTAGGTCCTAATGACCTAACAATGGCCAGCAATTATTTCAATTTGTCTATGACACAGTCAGTTAAATAGTTTCTCTAAGCTAAAATTGTGATCATTTACTCACTGATAGCACCCTAGTAAGAAAAAAAAGGTAGAGGTAAGATTTTTGTCTAACATCAACTTAATTATGTAAAATGCCAATTTCCTATAACATAATCACCTGAAAACAGAGCAGTAGGGACTTAACATAAAATGTAGGTATTGAAAAAGATTTTCATTAAATGCAAAATCGCTTGCTAACATTTTATAGTTCAGTCATCAGCCTATGAAAATTGAAAAAAAAGGTTGAAGAGCAAAGTTCCGTCTTAAGGTTTAAACTTAATTATTATATTCAGCAAGATTACTGTTGATATGGAAATTGGGAGAGGAGAGAAGTCCAGAAGATAAATTTCAGCTTGTTGTTGGAGCTATGAATTGAGACATTTTATTTTTTAGCAGGTAGAAAGCTATGTGAAAGAATCTCTGATGCGATAATTTGTGGGTGTCACTGGGACAGTTGATTATCATTCCTCTGAAAAGATGTCATGAACAGAGGAGAACTTCAGGGTCCAGGGAACAGAATAGAGAGGACAGTACAAGATGTATTCTTCCTTTCTCAACTGTCATTATTGCAATAATTTGGGAATTTCAAGGCTCTTTTAATGATACAGAAAAGTATTAGAGAGAGCTGTAAAGAATCATCCATGGTAAGCTAGAGAGAAATTTGTAAAGGTGTAGTTTGAGGCCATTGAAATGGGATGAGGGTATAGGTATATAGGATTTATAATTTGTGTTATTAGTTAAGGGGAAGTCTGGAAGATAAAGATAGGGAAGAAAATGGGATATAAAGTGACAAGAATATCATGAGATTTTGTGCAGATTGATTAGACTGTCTAAAATAGGTATATATATATTCACAGATTAAAATATTTTATATTATTAGAAAATAAACAAGTCAGTGACAATAAGAATAAACCTTCAAACAAGCTTTAGAGACACTAAATTTTTAGCTAAGTTTCAAGTTGTTGGTGGAGCTATGAAATGTGGTATTTTATTACTGAACAGGTAGGAAACGATGTAAAAGAATCTTCTGATGTCATAATTTCTGGGTGTCACTGGAACATTTGATCATCATTCCTTCGGCAATTCCAGGCTTCTATGGAAGGTCAGTAGAAGCAGTTGATTTATTCACCTCTACAGGAATCAGACTCGGCCTATTTTGGTAAGTCTATGTATCCTTGATCCAGTTAGCTAAAACTTAATATCTACATAAGATAGTTATACTAAACCATAGCTTTTACTAACGTGTCATTGAGCATAAACATTTTTTCCATAGTAATTGACACCCAGTACATAAAAACCATAATGTAATAATCAAATTCCTAGGCTTTATTGATTTAGTTTTTTTATTACCACAATAAACATTTACTTATTAGGTATAAGAAACAGTTGGAAGACATTTTTCATTTTTCCTGTCTTTTGCTGAAGACATGCACATTTGTACAAGATAGAGTTGTTAATTACCCACTGTGTGCCAGGCAGTGGTGACAAAGACAGACATGGAATGGGATAAGGTTACAATGATTAAACAAAAACACAAAATAGGGTACTGATTCGCAACAGAAGGTGATCTCCCCCTCACCCCTTCCTTCTCCACTAGAGGACGTTTGGCAACATCTGGATGTCACAAGTTTTGGGGACAGGTGCTATTGGCAGGCAGTGGGTGGAAGCCTTGGATGCTGCAAAACATCCTACAGTGTCCAGGATAGCCTCTTCCCTTCCCAACAAAGACTATCTGGCCCCAAAGTCCATAGTGTCACAGTTGAGAGATCCTGAATTAGAGTGATAACTTCCAAAGCAGAGGTAAAGAGGGCTATGAAAACTTATATTATGGAAGGCTGTTATGGAAGGCTCCTCTGAGGAAGTGAAATGTAAATTAAGACAATGAATGAGTTGACTCTAACAAATAAAGGGTGGGAGCAGTGGCTTGGGAAAAAGTCCCAGGCAGAGGTAACCGTAGGCAGTAAGGAGCTTATTTTAGATAGCTCTCTCTGTGTATATATGTGTGTTTGTGTGTTTTACATATATATTACACTAGTGGCCCGGTGCACGAAATTTGTGGACTGGAGGGGGGGGCAGCCTGGCTTGTGCCCTGTCACAGTGCAGGAGCCCCGCAATCCATCGCCCCAGAGGTAGGCCCTGCCCACCCATCCGGGGCTCCTCGATGGATTGCCCCAAAGAGGTAGGCTGGAGCCGGGGGGGGGGGGAGTCGTGCCTCCGCACCACGTGGAGCACGGAACCCCCAGGCCTCGCTACACAGAGGCCTCCACCAGGCCCCACCTCCAGGCCGCGCGGAGGCCTCCGGACCCCCAGCGGAGCTGCTCACCTCTGATGGGCCCCAGACCTCCTGGTGATGGATTGTGACAGCGTGATGCAAGTCCCTGATGCTGCAAGTCCCCGCCCACCCGTGCCTGCTGTGCACACAGCCTCCTGCTGACCGGTTGTTATGCGTGAGAATGTCCCGACCACTTGCATATTACCCTTTTATTAGTACGGATTATATATGCATATATATTTAATAATGCTCAGAGCATCTGCTTAATAATAATAGTTAACATTTATTGAGCACTAACTATGTGTTAGGTACCACACTACATGCATTATCTTATTTAATCCTTACTACTACCCTGGAAGTAGATTCTATTATTATTCTCAATTTATCTTTGGGAAGCATACTTGATTAAGTACTAGTACTCTGCCTAAGATCACATAGTCAATCCAACTCTCCCCAGACACTTTCTTAACTAATGCACTGTAAATGTAGAGGCAGGAAACTTGGGAATGAATGATAACTAGGAACAGAAGAGTTGGCTGAAGATCCTATGGTGATATGAAACTCAGCTGTCCTTCAAAGGAAGACAAGGGCTTAGACAGGCAGAGAGATAGTGGGAGATAGGAGTAGGGGCTCAAGCTTGTTGATCACAATAACCATAAATGCAAACGGAATAGTTTTTCACACAGCAGAAATGGACTTCAGTTATGTTAATTGTAGGACACAGTTTACTTTTATTGCCTAGTGGCTCGTCTGCATTTGTTGCAAGACTTAATATTTTATGTAAGGAATTGTTGTATTATATAGTTCTTATACACTTTTATAGATATTTTAAAATGTCATTTTCAGAATACTGGAATATGCCTATAGCAAAATAGTAACATTAAAAATTCCAAACAACTATTGGAAGACAATTCACCCCCCATCCATTATTATATCTTTCTAATCTAGGTTTTCAGTGAATTATGCCTTTTCGGATTGGGACCCAGCCACGGACGTTTCCAGTGGAAGGAGGAGATTCTACTATTGGGCTGGAACCTGGACTGAGCTCCGGTGCTGCTTATAACGGGAAAGAGATATCACCAGCCAGGTAAAGTCTTCTTATCCTGACAACTGAGGAAATGTGTAATGGCTCTCATCAGTACAAGCTTCAGCTGATGTTCAGTATTAGAAGAAAAAAGCCCAGGAACATTGCTGTTATTAAATTAGTATTAACAGAGCTTAGGTTTTCTTAGCATAGAGTCTGTATCTTATACCTCTGTAAGTCTAATGACAGGCCAATTCTTCCACCTCCTGTTCTTCTTTCTTCTTCTTCTCTCCTCCTCCTCTTCCTTATTCTTTTTCTTTTATAAACTTTTAGATTGTTTTTGTTGATAGTTTCAAGAACAGATAACTTTCAATTAAACAAGGAAACCGTTAGTGCTGTTATGTGCAGGGCACTGTTCTTGGCATAAGGCTAAAAATATGAAGACTCAGACCTCATATTCACTGGCACTATGACTTTGGCAGAGGGTGATATAGGGTATGAAGATTGTATAAAACAAAATCATTTTTGCAAAATTGAAGAAAACTATAATAGAATTTGCTCCACTTTTCTGCTTTTAACATAGCAAACCATCAAATACTACATTGTTAGATTTCTCATGGCTTGAAAATCTCTAGAACACACATTTAAGCTTAATAAGGTTGGTACTTTAAAAATCAGAGTTATTCAAGGATGGGATAGGCTACTTTGGGAAGTACTGAGCACTTATCTTTAGAAATGTTTAACGTTGGTTAATTACTGGGAATGTTGGAAAGGAAATTCAAGCACTAGATGTATCTTTATACTAGAGTAGTGGCCCGGTGCACAAAATTCATGCACATTAAAAGGGAATTAATTAGAGGAAATATTTTAATACTGCTGTTTGCCCTTTCTCTATAATAGAAGTGTCAGAGATGAAAGAAAATTAGTAAAATGTATATGAAAATAATACATAAATTTATTGCCTGTGGGGATGCAGTGTCAAGTCCTGCTGGAGCCGTGAGACCCAGAGTCAAGTCTTGGGTGTGGGCATCCGGCTCCCTCCTCCCTCCTGTCAGAGTCTGGGCCAGCGCCTGTGGGGACTCAGTGTCAAGGCCACCTCCAGCATCTGTGGGGATGCAGTGTCAAGCCCCCACTCTCCCGCGCACGCCTGCCACGCATGCAGCCTCCCAGTGATCAGTTGTTACAACGTGAGGGTGTCATAACCACAGGCTTTTTATAATATAGGATGTCCTCTAAGGGCTCTTTTAAATCTGTGATTCTATTAACATTTGAATAGTATATAGAATAATATGTTCAGTTTTATATTTTTCCACAAATATTCTAATTTTTAAGTAGACTCAACTGAAGTGACTTTACGGTACATATACATATGAATTGTCTTGGTCTTATCACTTGGGTTTAACAGCTATGCACCCCTGCCTTTTTTATCATTTAGCAATCATGACATATCTTTAAAAATGAACACTTGGAGGGTCATCTTCGTATTTATGAATTTCTTGTGATTAAATGTATGGCAATCCCTATAACTCCTTTGTAACATTTGTTATAATTACTTTGTGACATTCAAAGACGTCAAAAATATTTAAAACAGTTGAACATGCACTCAAACTGGTGCTCTGAAAAGTTTCCTTTGTGGTGTCTAACTGCATGTCATCTGCCCTTTTACTCAGGCAACTCCGAAGATGCCATGGAAGTCATTGCCTGACAATCACTGATGTTCCCATCAATGTCTATGCAACAATGCGAAAGCTACCTGCACAAAGCAGCAAGGAAATGCATCCTAAATAACATCACTGAGTCTTTTGTGGAGGCTGCCTAGGTCCAGGGTCATGTAGCAGTAGGGTCTTATGATCTGATAAACAAATAAAAGTTGTGGCACCTTTGGATGATGACAAAAGTTGAAATATTTATTTTTAGTAGGAAAAGACAGAAATGTAGTCTGTAAAACATGTGTAGTAATAAGCCATCAGTTATTTTTGATAGATAAGGCAAAATAATATTTCACAATTAGAAAGTACCTTAGAGATTATCTTGCTTAGAGTGGATCCTTAATAATAATTCAGGATGTTTATTTAGTCAGGACGGACCCATTCTAAATGCTTACTGTGTTATAGGCCTGTTTCCTTTGTTTATATTTGAGTTGCTATTTAGCTGAATCTTTTCACTTGCATACCCTAAGCCAGTTTCTGACTTGATATATTTTGATAATGCTCTGCCCAGGAATAATTATATGAGGTGATAAATGGAACTCAGTGGATTGTGTAATTTGGAAGAATACCCAAAATCAAAGAAAGTTAGTTCTTAGTCATGGTTAATCTGCAAAGCATATAAAATGCTTGCATATAGGGGCTCAGGTTATTGATTAAATTTATTATAATAATGTGAAGGCTATGGTTCTAACCCAATTTTTTCTTTTTTCTGGAAAAATGATAGGCTATCATCACACTGTACCTCAAGTCCCAGCCAGTCACCTTGAAATTGTCTACAGTTGGTATTGAGAAACTTCAGACGGATGTTTTTATTTGATTTGACTTGAGGATCAGTTTTGAGGTCTAGGCCAGCTCTCCATGTTTTCTTTTTCTTCTTGCAATAGTCCCAAGAAATTCAGCCTGATTTCCTTTCCTCTGGATGTTTGCCACCATCCATCCCATAAAATTGTCTTCTACAAAAGACTGGCTTTAGCATCAGGTAGTTTCTCTAGTTTCTTGTCTACCGTGCTGCTCCTGAAGATATACACATAAGCCTTTTAAAATGAAAGGTTTGCTGGTTTATAATTGCATGGATGTAGATGCATGTGTACTAGAGGAGGTAAAAAAGAAAAACTGCCAGGGATTTATAAATGGAGAAATTCTGAGAGTTTTATATATTCGATGTATAAAGTAGAAATGTTCACACAGTGCTGGGAGGTATTTGAATTCCAATCAGCCAGAAAGGAAAAACCTTGCTAAATATTTTGGGAATTGAATAGAGAGACGTCAGAAAAGTCACGCCTTAGAAGGAGGTCTAAATGCATACACACTTTAACAAAGCTTAAGAATGAAATTTGAGAGACTCAAGGTGATCCCTAAGTAACTTAATTACCTGCCAAATAAAAATTTATTACTCCTTAAAGGAAGAGAACAAAATTCAGAAAAGAAGTTGCCCAAGGCTAGGGAAAGTATAACAGGACAGGAGAAAGGAGTGATAAAAAAATTCTCAGAGGTCACAAAAGGCTAGGAATAATTTATATTTAATCCATAGTGGAAAAATCTCTTAATACAGGAACATTGTATGGAGTTCTCAGCAAGATATTATTTCAGTGGGGGGTGGCTGTGGGGTTGGGGGATAGGAATAGCTTTAGATTGAAGGCAGCTTTGGACCTGTGCTAACAAACCTTAAGAACAAAACTTGAAAGGATCAAACTATTTCCAAGTAACCAAATTGCATTCAAGGAGGGGAAAAACACACCCTCGAGATGTAAAGAACTATAATAAAATCCAGTACAAAAAAAGGAAAATTCACAATGATGAACATCCAATAAAAAATTACCATTTATGGAAAAAAGAAGGACTATACAATCTTATGTCCAGAGAATCAGTCAATAGAAACAGATTCAGAATGACAGATGATAGCATTAATAGACAAGCTACCACAAATATTCCAATAGTAGATAAAAACATAATTATGATGAAGAGAGGGGTGGAAGGTTCCAAATTGAACTTATTGAGATAAAAAAAAATATAATATCTGAAATGAAAATGAAAACTGGATGGGATTAAAAACAGATTAGATACTGGAGAAGAAAAGATGAATGAACGTGAAGACATAGTTATACAAATTATCCAAAACAAAATACAAAAAAAAGGCCTGAAAAGGAAAGTATAAATTTTGTATTTCAATATGAAGTAGTTTAACATATACAGGGTGTGGCAAAAGTAGGTTTATAGTTGTGAGTATGAGAAACAGTTTGTTCTTGTATATTATTTATTAATTATTGTATTATTTTCCATATGAACAACTGTAAACCTGCTGTTGTCCCACCCAGTAAGTAAGTGGCTTCCAAAAAGGAGGAGGGAGGAAGGTAAAAAATATTTGAAGAAATAATGGCTAATTTTTTTTCATATTTGATGAAAACTATAAACTCACATATCCACGTAGGTTAACCACCCTAAGGAGAAGACACACGGAGAAAATAAAATAAACAAAAACATGTAAATAAATGATGTGAACACCAATGATAAAGAGAAAAATCTTAAAAACCAGATATAGTCAAAGGCATGTACCTTGGTTGTGGGCACATCTCCAGTAGGGGGTGTGCGGGAGGTGGCTGATCAATGCTTCTCTCTCATTGATGTTTCTGACTCTCTATCCCTCTCCCTTCCTCCCTGTAAGAAATCAATAAAATGTATTTAAAAGAAAAACAAAAACAAACCAGATATAGAAAAATGACACATTCATTCAGAGGAAGAAAAATAAGAATAAGAGCACTCTTTTTATCAGAAAACGTGCAAGCAAAAGGGCAACAGAAAGACATCTTTAAAAGTATCAAATATTGTGAAGACAAGACACTTCAGTAAAAAAAAATGCTGGAGTAACTATAATAATAAATAAAAAAGATTTTAGACCAAGGTATACTACCAAGGATGGAGATATTTCATAATGATAAAGGGGTCATAACAATCTTAAATATGCAGAGTTCAAGGTACATGAATAAAAAACAATGAAATTGAAAAGAGAGCTAACTCCATATTTACAGTTGGAGATTTTAACATCTTTCAACAACTAGAAGAAAAATGACAGTACAATAGAATACTGTACATTCTATTCCAAAACACATGGAACATTTACCAAGAATATATCATATGTAGGGAACAATACAAGTCTCAATGAATTGAAAAGCAGGCAAAGTATGCAGAGTATGCAAAGTATGTTTCATAACAAATGAGAAATCAATAACAGAAAAATATCTAGAGAATCTCTCAATGTTGGGATGCCAAATGAGACACTTCCAAATAACCCATGAATAAAAGAAGAAATGACAGAAGAAATTAGACAATATTTTGAAATGAGTGAAAATGCAAATACAACCTATCAAAATGCATGGGGTGCAATTTAGTAGTGCTGAGAAAGCAAACAGTTTCATTAGAAAAGATTAAACATCTCAAGTCGATGATGTAAGCTTTTACTTTAAAAAAGCAGGAATGGTGAACAAACTAAACCCCAAATAAGCAGAAAGAAAGAATGAGGACCAGAAATCAATGAAATAAGACAGATAAATGGCAGAGAAAATCAATGAAACCAAAAGCTGATAATTCACAAAGATCAATAAAATTACAAACCTCTAGGCAGAATTATCAGGAAAAAAAGACACAAATTACTGACATCAGAAATGAGAGTGGGGGCCCTGCTACAGATTATATAGACACTAAAAGGATAAATAAATTTTTTTACAAGATTGAATTATTTAATCTTCTAAAGCTTCTGCCTTGAGTAATTGCTTTCCCACATTCCTTATGTTTCTAGATACCTTTCTTACTATAAGGGACTATTATAAACAGGTCTTAGGGTAACCCAGTGGCATCATCTATAATAATACAAGCATAATATGCTAATTACACCGAACAGCTGAATGACCTTCCAGACATTATTCCGACATCCTTCCGGATTAAGCTGCGGTGGCGGGGGCCAAGGAAGAGGCAGTTAGGGGCGATCAGGAAGGCAGGCAGAGTGGTTAGGGACAATCAGGCAAGCAGGTGAGTGGTTAGGGATGATCAGGCAGGCAGGCAGAGTGGTTAGGGGTGATCAGGCAGGCAGGTAAATGGTTAGGGGTGATGAGGCAAGCATGCAGAGTGGTTTGGGGTGATCAGGCAGGCAGGCAGGTGAGCGGTTAGGAGCTAGCACTTTTGGATTGTGAGAGGGATGTCCGACTGCCAGTTTAGGCCCATTCCCACAGAGATCCCTGTGGGATCTGTCCTAAACCAGCACTCAGACATCCCTGAGGGGTCTCGGATTGAGAGAGGATGCAGGCCAGGCTGAGGGGACCCCCCACCCCTGTGCATAAATTTTCTGCACCAGGCCTCTAGTCTATATATATAAAAGCTCAGTGACTCAATGGCAGAATGACCAGAATGACCAGTCGACCAGTTGCTGTGATGTGCACTTACAACCAGGGGGCAGATACTCAGTGCGCACCCACAGTGAGAGCAGCTGCTCAGAGGGCGGGTCCACAGTCACTTGGCTGACTGGGATGAGCAGCGCTCCCATAGCGGGCCAATCCCCATAGGCCACGCCCCAACTAGTGCATGAATCCGTGCATCAGGCTTCTAGTTTTATAATCTTCCTCCAGATTGACATCGGCTCATTAATCAGCTGTCTTAGGACATGATCATTTGAAAACATGTTCTGTTGAAGTGGCTGATTTAGCTAACTGTAAACTTGCTATGTCTGGCTGGGCTGGTGAGGGACTTGATGCTGAGCAGTCACCATCACTACACTTTAGTCATTTCTTGAGGGAATCAACTGTTGCTTCTGACTGGTAGTGCCATGCTACATTCCTCTGGTGCGTGTGCCTCTCTGACCCATGCTTTGGCAGATCATATCTGGCTTTCATCTCTCAACCTCAGATAGCCTCTGCCCACCAATCCCTGTTCCCTAATAGTGTCGTCTGGGAATGAAGTTTATAAACTTAAGTGGCTTTATCCATGGTAGCCAAACTTCTTTCTTACCTTTTGGGTTCTCAGGACTTCACAGGTTACCAAAGACTTGAGGGAGTGCTTCTGTATTGATGATGGGTTGCACCATTTCCCCCCTCCCCTTCTCCCCACAACCTCAGGAAAATCAGAAATCTCTGGGGCTTGGGGAAACCCAACTGGATAAGTGAATTTTAGTTTTTATTTTCTTCAGACTCCAAGGCACTTTACAAGTGATTGCCTTGGGAGGTGAGGTGAAGGGGTAATTTTAATGAAAACTCTGCTTTCCTGAAATTCACTCAACAAATATTTATTGAGCATATACTTCAATGTCAGGAACCATTCTAGGCTCTTACAACACATCAGTGCATAACATAAAAATTTGTGGAGCTTACATTCTGGAAAGTTTCTCCTGTTGCATTTCTAGTCTCTTTATATAGACCAGGGGTCCTCAAACTTTTTAAACCGTTGGAGGGCCAGACTATAGTTAAAAAAAAAACTATGAACCAATTCCTATGCACACTGCACATATCTTATTTTGAAGTAAAAAAACAAAACGGGAACAAATACAGTATTTGTATTTGCATGTGGCCTGCGGGCTGTAGTTTGAGGACCCCTGATATAGACTGTGTGTGTGTGTGTGCGTGTGTGTGTGTGTGTTGGCATTATGATGTTACATTGCTGGTTGTACTGATATGGCTTCTCTGAGTCAATCCTAATGGAGAAGGGATTGGTTCTAAACCTCAGTTTGGAGAACTTATTTATTGTTTTACTAGGGGTCTGATGCACGAAATTCATGCATGGGGGTAGGTCCCTCAGCCCGACCTGCACCCTCTCCAATCCAGGAGTTTCTGTCTATCTTTGCAGTCATATGAACAAATTGTCTGAGACCCCAACCCAGTTTGGTTTGGTGCTCACAGAATAATAGAGGTCTTTTTTCTTTCTTTGCTCCATTGGTGGAGATTTCCTAGAAGTTGCCGGGTATCTTAATTTTTCCTCGACACTCTGACTTTACTTATGTCTCTCACCTTTGCTTTCCCTCCATCCCCCACCTGCAACAGTAACTTGCTCCAGGCTCACTTTGCTCTAGTGCAGTGATGGCGAACCTTTTGAGCTCGGCGTGTCAGCATTTTGAAAAACCCTAACTTAATTCTGGTGCCGTGTCACATATAGAAATTTTTTGATATTTGCAACCATAGTAAAACAAAGACTTATATTTTTGATATTTATTTTATATATTTAAATGCCATTTAACAAAGAAACCCAAAAAATGAGTTCGTGTGTCATCTCTGACACGCGTGTCATAGGTTCGCCATCACTGCTCTAGTGTCTAGGACAGCCGTTCTCAACCTGTGGGTCGTGACCCCTTTGGCAATCAAACGACCCTTTCACAGGGGTCGCCTAA